AAAGCAAGAACAAGCTTTCAGGGGTCACAATGAAGCTGAAACACCGTTTAATAAACGAAACTACATAGAACATTACATACACAGGATATGATTTGTGCATTGTTATTGTCTGAATTTTTTGTTGCAGCTAGCAGGAATGTACATTGAAAAGGGTAGACGTTTCTTCCAAATGTTGTCCAGCTTTTTTATCCAGTCCCTTTTGTCCAGTTCTTTTATGAATAGAAAGGTTCCCAACACCAGCATGCTGGTACGTCAACTCCTGACTTGTGAACCCTGTACAAGATCAACGGGAAAATTTAATATTATTCTTTGAGCTTTTGATAGATTCAGAAAACAATGCTGATTGGGAACCGTCATCACTGGTGAAGGCACAAGGTTTTATTTACTTTTTAAGCCAATTGGATACTATCTTCGTCCTTGAAACATTTTCAATAATTTATGGACATACGGATGTCCTTTTCAATATATTTCAAGACAAATATATAGATACTGGGTACCTCCATTCCAAAGTGCAACAAACTATGGAATTTTTTAGAAGTCAGAAGAGAAGTCCAAAACATTTGTCAAAATATTTCTTCTAGGGTGATAAATGCTTCCCAGTGACCTAATGTGAAGACTCTTATTTCAAAGTGTTCTGCCGGTAGAGGCACGGAACCTGCTTGTGGCGAGAGGGCGCCACTAGCGGTCAAAGCAGCGCCATTGCACCGCTTGTGTGAACCAGTTACACTAGTCAACAAGGTTTTCTTCACAAAATATCTAATTAGCAAATATGATGCGTCTTTACTTTCCCAAAACGTACGTATATACATAGTAATATATGTAGTATAGAGGAAAGTATGAAATGCTGCGAAACATCGATTTCGAGATTTCAACGAAAATATACGTTTTAGGGTCCCCTGTTACCGTAAAAGTATTTCTATTCAAAACATCTGCCTGCCTGTCGGTCCGTCTGTGAACACTAGTGCCTAAACCATTCGCGCGGAACCAAAAACAGTTAAACGGTTAGATCTGGCGAGTTCTGCGGGACACCTTTCCTCGTGCTGTCTCCAACACCACTGGTTAGCTCTCTTCGTGGTCGATATAAGAAATGGACTATCAAAATCAAATAATGGATGTACATACATATTCACAGTGATTGATGTATTTTCAAAATATACATTACATGTTTAAAGTAAATCAGGATTCAATGTAAGTTAAGCGACGAATCATATACTTCAAAATGAGGGATTTACGAAATACTTACAAAGAGATCGTGATAAGAGTTCAAGATTTTACATCTTATGAAACAGTATAATATTCACCATTTTTAAGGATATTCAAGAAAGAAAGGAAATTATAAATTGTTGAATATATTCCCAAAATTAATAGACGAATATAATCATTCCGCATATCTTACTATTTAAATGAAACCTATAGATGTCAATACGTATAGTGAAATATTGTTATTAGAACTGTTTATAAAACACACAAGACGTTTTTTTACCGAAGTTCAATAGTGATTATAAAGAAAGTGTAAGTAAATTGAAATCTATATTCGATAATTCATGTACTGGTAATTGGTCTACAGAAATACTTGTAATCATTAAAATCATTCATTCTAACCTATTTGTTTATCATCTCTAAGATATTTAAAGTTCATTTAATGAAAATGAGTTACATAAAACAAAATTTTGTGATAACTATTTAATAGAAAATGTCATAAAAACAAGAAGAAATAAAGTATATGTAAAATGGTTTGGATATGTTCAAACTTATAAATTATGGACAGAAAAATCCAATGAAGTTTAGTGATTTAATGCAACAAA